TATCTTGCCCGGATTATTCATGTACCTGCTAACAGCTCCCACTGCTTGAGCAATATCTGGTCTGGTACAAACCATGGCATACATTAGACTTCCAATTGCTGAGGCATACGGCACCTTCACCATGTGTGCACGTTCTTTCTTCCTCCGTCTTTCGTGATTGTTCTTTGGAGAGTCTAAAATGAACACCTAAAGGTGTACTTACTGGTTTAGCATCTTGCATGTTGAACCTGGAGAGTACTTTGTTGATGTACTCAGCCTGTGATAACATCAAAGTCCCCGACTTTGTGTCTCTCTTAATCTTTATCCCAAGAATCTGCTTTGCAGCGCCCAGATCCTTCATATCAAACTACTTCGACAATTTTTGCTTCAAGTTTATAATCTCTTGCATGTCTGAGCCTGCAACGAGCATATCATCAACATACAACAATAAAATAATGAAGCTGTTGTCGAACCTCTTGATGTAGCAACAATGATCTGCTTGACATCTGGTAAAACCACTGCTACTCATGAAGCTATCGAACTTCTAGCACCACTGTCTAGGAGCTTGTTTTAAAAAATACAAGCTCTTCTTCAACCTGCATACCAGGTTTTTCTTGCCTGCCTCTATGAAGCCTTCTGGCTGCCTCATATGTATTTCTTCCTCCAAATCACCATGAAGGATAGCTGTCTTTACATCTAACTGCTCAAGATGTAAATTCTCTGCAGCTACAATTTTCAACACCAGTCTGATTATAGACAGGTTTATGACTGGAGAGAAAATTTCATTGTAGTCAATACCTTCTTTTTGCTGAAAACCTTTGACAACCAATCTTGTTTTGTAGCGTTTGCTCCCATCATGCTCTTCTTTGATCCTATAAATCCACTTGTTGTGGAGCGCTTTCTTGCCTGGTGGTAATTCAGCTAATTCCCACGACTGATTTGACATAAGCGAGCCCATCTCATCTTTCATGGAAGACTCCCACTTGACTGAATCCTCCACTTGCATTGCTTCATCATAGCACTCTGGTTCACCATTATCAGTCAGCAATAAGTAGTGGAAAGAAGGAGAATATCGTTGGGTTGGTTTAGGAATTATGGAGGAGCGTCTCAGTTATGGTGTGACTGATTCTTCTTGAACTGCTTCAGGATTGATCTGAACATCATTTCTAGAAATCTCCTCGAACTCAGCAAATTCCTTTGTTTCAGCTTCGGTATTGGAGCTACTTGATTCTACAGTTGACATGTCTTTGTACATCATATTCTCATTGAAAATGACATCTCTGCTTCTGATGATCTTTCGATTTTCGTAGTCCCAAAACCGGTAACCGAACTCATTATCGCCATAACCAACAAAGGTACATTTGTTGGACTTAGCATCAAGTTTACTTCTTTCAGCAGAGTCTATATATACATAAGAAATACAACCAAACACTCTTAAGTGTGAAAGGTTTATTTCTTTCTTGCTCTAAACTTCCTCTGGTATTCTGCCATCCAAAGGAACTGAGGACCTACGGTTGATCATGTAAGCTGCAGTGTTGATAGCTTCAGCCCATAGAAATTTGGGCAATCCGGCATGTATCCTCATGCTTCTGGCACGTTCATTCAGAGTTATGTTCATGCGCTCTGCTACGCCATTCTGTTGCGGTGTCATGGGAACTGTTGTCTCCATCTTGGTCCCATTGTTTGCGCAAAATTATCTAAATCTACGATTTCTGTACTCTCCTCCATTATCAGACCTCAACCGCTTGACTTTCAGACCAGTCTCATTTTCCACCATGGCCTTCCATTTTATGAAGGTATCAAAGTCTTCTGATTTTTTCTTCAGAAAATAAACCCACACCTTCCTTGTAGAATCATCGATGAATGTGACATAATATAATGAGCCTGTAAGAGATGGAACTGGAGATGGTCCCCATACATCAGTATGAACCAACTATAACTTTTCAGCCTTGGGTGTCTTACCAATCTTTGCAAAACTGACTTTCTTTTATTTGCCAAAGATGTAATCCTCGCATAGTCTGACATCTACATTCTTTAGATCCGACAGCTTCCCTTTTGACAAAAGTGTCTTCATCCCTTTCTCGCTCATATGGCCAAGCCTTTGGTGCCATAAGTTTGATTTTCCATCAACATCTGCTACTGCAATGATATTCTCTAAGTTTGAGGTTACATAGAGAGTACCAGTCTTCTTACCACGAGCAATGACGAGTGCTCCTTTTATAATCTTCCATTCACAGTCTGAAAAGATTGTACTATAACCTTCTCCATCAAGCTGTCCTACGGAAATCAAATTTCTTTTTAGGCCAGGAATATGTCTCACACCTTTCAGCGTCCAGGTGGTCTGATTTGGCAGCTTTAGTCGGATGTCTCCTCTTCAGACGATCTTCAAGGTTTCATCATCAGGTAGATGAACCTTCCCAAAATCACCACTGACATAGTTCTCCATGATTTCTCGGCATGGGGTGGAGTGGAAAGATGCCCCTGAATCCAAGATCCATGATTCAATCGGACTGTTGACGCTTAGAATCATGGCATCACCTGTCTCCTCTGTCATGTTGGTAGATTCCTGTACGCCGGTATTTTTCTTCGGTGCTCGGCAATCTCTTTTAAAGTGACCCTTCTTGCCACAGTTATAACAGGTAAAATATTTCTTCCCCGTTCTTGATTTTTCCCTTCTGGATTTAGATCTGCCACGATTTGAATTTCTTTCTCAAGTTCTCTATCTGTACTCAGTGTGCAAGACTGAGGAGGTTGATGCTTCACCCGATTCTCTCCGTCGAATTTCTTCGCTCAGTACCAGATCCCGAACATCGTCGAATTTTAATTTGTTATTTCCCGACGAGCTGCTTACTGCTGTAACAGTAGCATTCCAACTGTCTGGTAGAGATGATAAGAGAATTAAAGCTCGAACTTCATCATCGAATTTAATTTCCACGGAACTCAACTGGGTTGTGATTGTGTTGAGTTCATTTAGGTGTTGAGCCACTGATGCTCTTTCCGCCATCCGCAAATTGAATAATCGCCTCATCAAGTGAACTTTGTTTGAGGATGATGGCTTCTCATACATACTGGAGAGAGCCGCCATAAAACCCGTCGTGGTCTTTTCCTTTACTATGTTGAAAGCAACATTGCGGGACAACGTCAGTCAGATAACTCCGAGGGCTTGTCTGTCGAGAATAGCTCAGTCTTCATTCTTCATGCCCTCTGGTTGCTTTCCTGAGAGAGGTTGATATAGATTTTTCTAGTACATAAAATCTTCAATCTGTATCTTTCAAATGCCAAAGTCCGCACCATCGAACTTTTCAATTTTCACATTCCCTTCGTCTGCAATCATCGCTCCCACTCAAATCTGGCTTCGTTTGGATCGTTTCTGACAATTCTTGCGAACCACCGTGTATTAGAACACCTCCGTCGACAAATTCGTATCGCCGACAAAATTTTTACTATTCACATAATTCACTATTCATATTAATAGTAATGAATAGTAACCTCGCAAAAATTGACAAAATTTACAACCAAAAACTCTGATTACCAATTGTTGGAAAATAAACGAGTAAACAAGTAATTTCCCTATAATCAGATTAGTAAGAATGCGAAATAAAAGCGGAAAATAATACCCAAAAATTGATAACGGAGTTCAGTCAATTGTGCTTACGTCTCCGGACTGCTGCAGATCTTTTACTAAGAGAGAAAATTTATAGGTATTTACAAAACACTCACTACTCACAAGAAACTCTATAGTATTGGGAGAGAAATGATTTGGGATTTGAGATGATTTTGAAGCTAAATGAGCTAGGGTATTTATAGTTGAAACTTAAGGACTAATCTTTAAAAATACCCTAAAGTGCAATGACTAAAGTGAATTTACACATTCCTATTTTCAACAAACATCTACTAATCTTTACCAAACTTTAAAAAATATTTTTCAAAATTGGTTGCCAAACTTTGAAACTAACTTTTAACAGCAACCACACCTATATCTAATTTGCAACCTCCATCAGTTTTCAACTTCCACCATTCCCCTGGGGGAGGTCGCCATTGTTGTTGTTATTCGTGCTGTAATCCTCCTTTTATCGATCATAGTTGATGAAGATTTAACGCATTAAAGCTTCCATTTGGAGTCGTATAACCGATTGCAACACGCTCTCAATCTCAATAATTTCTGGGTCGAATATGAACTTGTTTCGACGAACCCAATTACTCCATATAATTGATCCAAAGCCAAGGCCCCACTCCCCTCGTCGTCTCGGGAAATGGCCTGGTTCTTGCAGTTTGGTTCATATCCACTTATCTTTTGGCATTGAGCAAAATTCATTGATCTTCTCTGGTTTAATTAGTTTGCTCCAAGTTGTTCTTGCTATGAAGCTCTCTCGGAATATATGAGACGATGTTTCCTTAATAGCACCACAACAGCTACAGCATGAATTGTCCGAGAAGTGTCTCGTGGTTCGTTCTACATTTTTCATTAAACGGTCTTTGCAAATGTACCAAAGTAAACATCGAATCCTCGACAGGCCTCTATAACAATCGATGGTTTTCCTCACTGGTGATGCCGTGTTCCCTGTGAACACTTTTTAACGTGAACTTTCCTTTCTCTTCCATCTCCATACTGGTGTTCCCTCCATCATTGTTGATAATATCCTTTAAAGGAAAATTCATGAAAGACGAGAACTTATTCATCAAAGTAAAGAATAAATTTCTTGAGTTTAAATGATTTATCAAATTTAGGATTTTTTTTCAGATTCCATATACTTTTAGAATTAATGTTAAGATAAAGATCATTAGAAAAAAACCTAGTTTATTTGAGAGTAAAAAATTTATTCTGTCTTATGTGAATTGAAAGTAAAAAAATAATATGCTTACTATTTCAATTCCATGTAAAATAATTGTTTATAAGATTGAATAATGAATTGATTTAACTTAAAACTGTTTACGGATTTAAACTACAAAATCCCAGATAGAATTAAAAACAAAAACTGTCAAATATACTTCACGACCAAAATTGGAGTGTTTTGCCAGAAAAGAACTCAGTCCCTTAGATGTTCATAAAAATCTGTGATCATATTCACAAATCATTACAGGTCTGTTATAACTCATCACCGTTCTCCGGATAGCAAAACACTGACCAAAAACCAAATCATTAGAAATATAGTTGCCCAATCGTACTCCCTAAAACAGAATTAAAAAGAATCAGGGAGAAAATAGAAATTAAGCAACACGATGAATTTCGCTTCAAGGGAACGAGTCATATGGGAACAGATTGAATCCACACTGACCAGATAGCGAAGCTTCAAGAAATAGATACCAAGCGACAGGCTTTTTTCTGAATCAAAATTGAATCTCTAGCTCCAAAACCAAACGAACCACAGAAAACAATAAAGAAACCCTAGGGTTTGATTACAAGGGAGAGGGAGAGGGGATAAATTATATAGTGGAAGCGTTGGAGAGATCTGACGGTGGAGGTGAGTCTTTCATAGGATGGACGGCTTGTGTTCGCCTTGAGTTTCGGTTACCCTAATTACGGCTGCGGTTACCCAAAACATTTTATTTTTTGGGTTTTCTGCTGTCAAGTTACTTTAATTTGGGCCTGTAAATTCTTTGTACATAAAAGCCCGTTGTTTTACAAATGGGCTATTGACATATTAGCACAACCATGCATGTATTTGCTAAGTTTTTATGGTTATTGAACTTGACATCCCTAAATTATAGTCTCTGTTTCAAATTGGCCCTCCAAAATTTTAAATATTGTCTCTCTTATCTTAAAATTTACAAGGTCTGTTTTTTTATTTAACAGGTCGATTAAAGTTGTTTATGAATAATACATACTTATTCTTTTTAATAGAAGATAGTTTTTGTTAAAAATATAAAATATTCCAATTACAATGAAGGCACACAATGCTTAGCAAAGAATAAAACCAACAGCCTGCATAGGCTGAATAGTTGAACTATCATCGCACAAAAATCCTACAACTGCAGTAGGTGGTGTGAGATAAGATCTGAAACCAAAAGGTAAGCTCAATGTCAACTTAGACATGTCATCGGCCACTCTATTACACTCACGGGAGGTGTGTCTAAAAACTACATTCCACGAGCAATACACAAGTGCAGCAACATGGGGAGACAGTGAAGAAATACCTCGTATACCTGGTTTTTGTTTTAGAACCTCGAGCACATCCATACAATCCATTTCAACAATAACTTTTTTCCAATTCTTGTCACGAGCAATGCGAAGACCCTCGTAAATGCCCTGTAATTCAGCATCAGGAATCGAGCAAATTTCAATGGCCTTTGAGAAACCGATAATCCATTCCCCAAGATGGTTACGAAGAAGACCTCCCCAAGTAGTCAGCCTGGAGTCACTTCGCTTAAGCACAATCCGTGTTCAATTTCACCCAACCTTTAGGTGGCGGTTCCCACTTAATATTCAGATCGACGCGAGTTGCCCGACCAGTTAAACAGATTGTTCTTGATTCAAAAGCCCGAATTGCTTGAGTGACCAGAATATTATTTTAACAATTTAACCTGTATTCTGCGCAACACCTAAGCTAATCCCCAAAGAGGGATTTAAAACCAGAATCAGATATTTATGATTGTGGGTCCCAAGCCTAATCAGCAACTACTCAGATCCTGATCTAATCCACTTTCTCAACTAACAAACATCATCCACTGGCCAACTGTTTTCACAATTTATGATGAGCACACTCCTCACGCGTTTCCATGGACCGTGCTTTTCACTCTTCTCTTTACCTTTTTATCGTGTGAATTGTATTTGTTCCTAACTTCCTATTATATAATAAAAGTTAACCAAAAACGTTTACTGCTCGACTTTCCACATATTTCTCAATTTGAAAAAAATGTTTTTTATTAAAATATAACGTGTGTGAACTTTTATATGTGGATAAAAGTTCGACACTTAGGTGTTGTTTGTTTTTGCAGAGGTAAAATGTCTGCAGTCTACAGATCACATCTGCAGGCATCTGCAGCAAAAGAGGTAGACCAAAAGTCTGCAGTCTGCAAGAAAAAGACTGTTTGTTTTTTAACGTCTGCAGACTGCTAAAATAAACTTAAATATAAATAAAATGGTTTTTAAACTTAAAAGAGTTTGCAATACTGAAATTTAAATAATCCATACAACTACAATAATAATTTTTTTAAAATAAATCAATCTATATTTTGCATTAATTGCTCAGCAATTTCATCTCGTAACTGAGTCATATATTCTCGATCCGCTGCAGAACCATATCCTTCAGGCTCGTCTTCATCATCAGCAACGTCTTTGAAGAGGTTGGAAGAGTTTTGAAGACACAAGGTCACGTCTGCGCCAAGAAGAGGATGTGCAGCCTGCGAAGCCCAATATCTGCGCGTAGTCTGCGCGGAGCAGACATAAGAGCTTTGAAGACTTTTTTTTAGAAAAACAAACGCCACCTTAATCTACAAGTTAAAAAAAGAGATAACATTTACAACTCCCTAGTTTTTCAAAGACTAAGCTAGAACAAATCCTATTTACAAAAAGAATAAAATATGTAAACAATAAAATATCTTAAAGGAAGATGTTTACAAATATTAAGCTCGCTAAAAACACTAATATTTAAGAGAGAGGAAAATAAGAGTTAAAGAGTTTTTCTCTTGATATCTATTGCTTGGATAGGGGTTGTGTAACTTCTTCAAGTGTCCTCAACTTGTTTTCATATGTTGAAAATAGTTTGTGGCCATTTCAAGCCGTTGGGAATGTTTTTGAGTCGTTAGGGATTAATTTTCTACAAAATAAAACTGCCCCAAGATAGGGAGTATCGACACTCCTTTATTGAGTATCGGTACTACCTTTGTAATTTTTAAATAAACTAGTTGTTAAAGACCGTTGGGATTGACCAATATCGATACTATGCTTCATAGTATCAATACCACTGTGTAAAGTAGTATCGGTGCCCCTTGAGTATCGGTACCCCTTGAGTATCGGTACTTATTATGCATTCCGAAATTTGAGCAATTTGGAAAACAATTGATAGTATCGATATTACCTAGAGAGTATCGATACTTCTCTTACCTGTGGTATCGGTACCACATCAACAACATCGGTATTGTTCATATAGTATCAATACTGTAAGAACAGTATGGGTACTACGTACCCAGAAAAATTGTTTTGTGCTCAAATTCTAGTTTAATGAACTTTGAATTATTTTTTTAAAACTTTTAACAAATTCAATCAAGTCCAAAAAACATTTTTGCCTTAATTTGTTATATCAAAATATTATAAAACATATTTCAACAATCACTTTAATGTGTCTCCAAACTATGATTATTATTTTAAATTTGTTCTTAAACTTTTCAATATATCAATTTCATCCCCAAACTATGACTCTCATTCTAAATTAGTCCCCAAACTTTTGAATCTTTTAATTTCATCTCTAAACTCATCCAAATATGTAATTAGTTTCAAGTATTGTTTAACATAAAAAAAATTCAAACATATAATAATATAATTTGACCTAGCGATTTTATTAACAAATGATGTTAATATTTTATTAGTATATATGTATAGTTTGAGATTAATTGAAATATTCAAAAAATTTGGGGACCAATTTATAACGAAAGTCATAGTTTGAGGATGAAAATTAAATGTTCAAAAGATTAAGGACTAATTTAGAATAATAGTTATAATTTAAGGATACGATTGAAACCTTTAAAAGTTTAATAAGTAATATAAAATAAGAGTCATAATTTAAGCATGTGTGATACAATTAACTTTTTTAAAATTAATATAATTATAAGGATGCGTTTAACTAACATTTTAACGGAGATATGAGCAGTAATGAAGACTGCATCATATATTTATTTGGGTTAATTACCTTATTCGTACATGAAGTATATCAAATTTCAGTTTCATACATAATGTTTAATTTTTTTATTTCATATATGGTGTTTTATGTTGTTAACGGGTTCATCCATTTATGTTACAGAAGATGACAATGAACTCTATGACCACTAACAAACTGACACATGACAATTAAAAAAATATTTTTTTAAAAAAAAGAAATCTTTCATTCTATTTTTTAGTTTTCCTCTAACTGGCGCAAGATCCCAACTAGGCCAGCGACGACAGTCTAAGAAGGTAACGACGGTGAGCGAACGAACTCGACTGAATTTAATAACTTAGGGATTCCGGCAGTGGTGGCTGTGAGGCTGATGGATGACGAAAAACATAGATGATGAACTTATTTTCGATGAACCTTCAAAGCGTTTTCCATAAAGATCAACGACGATTCACAACAAATGACCGATAGGATTCTGGTTGCGGTGGCAAGGCACTCCCAGTAATGATGGCGATGACAATCACTGACCAATGACAGCAGAGATCGGCGACAAGGAACTTGAATGGTCTCTCACGAATTTTCGATGAATAACGGATGAACATAGGTAACCAACGGTCGAGGTTTGATTGCAGGACGACGACGATGCCAACAAAGGCGACGATGCACACCACAGACGACCTGAGAAGGTTGAACGACGATGGATAACGGTTTGAATGGTTGAATATGAAAGGCTATTTTTTTAAAATATTAAAATACATTTTTTAAGTGCGACGTAACATTTTGTTAGTGATCATATGATTCTATGTCATCTTCTATGACAGAAATGGGTAAACCCGTTAACGACATAAAATACTATGTATGAAATCAAGAATTTAAAACATTATGTATGAAACTGAGAATTTGATATATTTCATGTATTAATAGGGTAATTAACCCATTTTATTTTAAATTATAAAAGGAATAACATTTAGTTTTACAATTTAAGAACTTAAATCTCAAGTTTCGTTTAATTACAACTATATTATTCTATTCTAAGGAAAAGATTGTGAAATCATGTTTAAATAATATTATATTTTAAATAAATAACCATTTATTGTCTTTGTTATATGGTTGATTTTGATCTATGATTTTCTCTTTATCTATATATCTACATTAAATTAATAATAAGTTATGATTTTAAATATTAAAATTATATGAATCAAGTATGTGTATAATAATAAAAGACATTATTTTAATCTTGATAGATATTTAATCTCGATTTAATTTTAAACAACCTTTCTCTTTATGAAAAACACAT